TAATCGTGATTATCATTTTTGCCATAATCGAGCAGCCCTACATGACACAACATCCAAATATAAATTGCAGCTAAAAAGGATTACAGAGTATCAAGTTTATGTGGTTACTGAAACCAAGACTGTTACGTAGTCTATCCAGATAACAGAGGGTGGTGACCTCTAATTACAGGTTCCAAACAGACAACAGCAGTTGAAACCTTACCAGACTTATGACCCCATTTATGATTCAAGTACCACTATGTGACAACTTAACTGAAGCTAAGAAAAAGTCGAGTCAAATTTTTTTTTCCTATCTGCCAGGTTAGGAATGGTTACAAAGTAAATAAATAAGGTGTATGGAAATATTGCAACATAATAAGAAAATTGGGTATGGTTAAAAGTTTGCTAAAATGCCAGAACAATAGAACATTTTGCATCATAACAGAGAGAAGAAAAATATAGTATTCGTTGTTGCCTTCCTTTTACTTAATTCATGAAGTAAAACAGCAGCTGGCCATCATATTTGCTGTGCAATTGACCCCTTGGGGATTAATCAGAATCAGAATACTTTATTGATCCCTAGGGGAAATTATTAACACTTTGCTTGTCTGGTAATTAAAATGAAGATTTTTTTCAGATATGTGGATAAATTAGATATTGAAAACCACAAACAGTTGAACATAACTAAATTACTGCTTAACGTGAATGTTCAACTGACTAATATTAAAGCATGCCTCGGCAGATTTCAGCAACATAACTGAGTGAGTATATCACAAGTCTTTTAACAAAATGATGTTTTTTGAAGGTTTCTGTGCACCTACCTTGAGAGCCAGGGACAAAATGCCCCAGGCGGTCCTCTTCCCCACAGTTAGCTTGCTCTCTAACCACACTAACCTGGAACCCTGGATGGAAAAATCCAAGAGAAAAAAACATTAAAAATTACATCACACAATCTACATTACAATTGATTTCCAAATATTCTGAGTCTTAGGTAGGTTGAAGGTTAACTGAGGATACACATTTACAAACCAATATTACCAAATAGCCAAAACTGTTCAGAGTTTCTCCTTAATTGTCACTTCATCAAGATACAGAAAGATTGCTTCAGAATTTGATTGTAGTTGATCATTTGATTTGGTCCTATTGCCACCTTTTCCAACAACACTTCAATTCTTCTTCTTTTTTTTTTAAAGTTAAGTATCTAAAGAATTAAAGAAATAAAAATGGGTTAAATGTGAGTTTAGTCCAAAACCTAAACTGGCACCACTGTGGAATAAGAAGTCTGTTCATATAAGATGGATCTGTTGGGTTTCAAAACTTAAGTTATTCATTACGATGTTGTACCTATCTTAATAAAAGCTTTTGACCTATTTTACACCTGAAATTATTAAAAGATTTACTGTGTGACAAACTGTTCATTTGGTTTTGTTATTTATTCATTACTGAGAATATACAAGCATGTTGTGGCCTCCAAACTAAATGTTGAGGATGAAACAGGTTCCAGTTTTACATCTTCCCAGGGACTTCAGAATCTCAGTACTTCAGGTGCCAAGATGATAAGAAATTGTTTCCACTTCACTCCAAAGTTTAGAATTACACCAGCCAATTGCTCAGCAGATAAGGTATGCCTCCTGCTTTGAATACAAGAGTGACAGGAGGAACTAGTATTCACACTGGAACACTGAGGACCTTGTGTGAGGCCTCCAGGAGCCAACATGACTTCACAGATATTTATAGATCGCTTGAGCCCAGCCTAAGGCCACATTGTTGTCTCTTATCTAATCAAATAAGAGACAACAATGTGGCCTTAGACTAATCAATCTGCCATTGTATTAATAAGCAATGTTTGCTTGGGGAAAAAATAAAACATTAAGCAGCTGTTGATCTTTTTTTCCCAAACAAGAGAAAACATTGCAATCATCCGAGTTCCTGCAAAAACTCTGTAAGATGAAAAAAAAATCCACTTAATATAAATTTATAGAACCTCAGAGGCTCAATCATGAACACCTATTTGAGTCCTAAAGCATCTATGATCCTGTACAGCTTTTACACAGCTCAGTGCCTTATATTGTAGGCATGT